CTTCCCATGTAGTAATGCTGGCATGAGACTCCGCATCTAACCACTCCAATGCAACATCTCTCAATGTAAATGGAAATAGTCGTAATTTAATAACATCTTCATTGACCCCTGGAGCTTGTAAGTTCAAACAATTTCTGAGAAATCTAGAGATATGTGTGTTTGGATTCTCATGAGGTAACCCGTAGAATTGCAGAGTGTTGCTCATCAAGTTAATCCAATCTGGCCTGATCTAAAAGTTATTCGCCCCAAAATATAGGTACACAATACTGGAGCGCATGTGTGCTGCTATAGGTGTCAGGAACATTGATACTGGCAAATCACCTTCATTTATTTTTCCTCGCTCATGCTGCTGTTCCGGTGGTGCCTCCACTCTTGCAGCCATTTGTCGAATCGGCTGAATATGGATATGAATTTGTTGATTGTCAGTCATTTGATGTTGCTGTTTTTGTTTATGTTCTTCGCGTCTTTGTCTGAAAGTACGTTCTATCTCCGAATTAAACGGTTCAAGATCGTCATCTTAAGCACAGAGCATACAACGAACACAATTTTCTGTAAATAAAAGAAAATAAACTAATCAAATAACAGTTAAAATAAAAATTAATTAAGACTAGAATAAATAGTCATCGGTAACGGCGCCAAAAACTTGTTGTAAAATTTTAGTTTCACAAGTGTACGACCCGTAACAAGTAATAGTGGACCTAAGAGTCCGGATTGTCAATCCCACAAGGAATATTTTTTAACACTTAATTCAATTTTTCTTTAACTACTATTTGACTAAAACAAATTAAAAGTTGTAAAATCTGAGTTTTAATCTAAATTCTAGAAAATAAATGGATGTTCACACGATTGGTTAGAGAATCAAATAATGAATGGATGTTAGGGCAGAATAACTTCACCAATTGATCACTTTTACATCTCAAATTAAAACTCAATTCTAATGTAGTGCTCGGTCGAATTCTCCTATTATATTCAATTTACCCCTTTCGAGTTCTCATTGAACCTATTCAACTAATTAAATTTCATATTATATGCAAATTCAATTATGATCGTAATTAATGGTATAGGTATCTCTACTCGTTATACCAATGTACTGGATTTTACTACGTGGTCTAAATCCTAATCTCATATCTCTATTTGTAAAGAATTCACAAAAATTATCAAATTATTGATCAGATAATTTAATGCATTCAAATCATAACAAAATCAATACATGGAAAAATTAAAAACTGAGAATCGTAATAAGATAATGTAAAATATCCCAATTGGTTACATTATTCCTCATAACAATGAATTTAGCTACTCATAATGCACGAAGAAAAATATGAAATTGTCTTAGAATATATCACCGAATTTGTAATAAAGATATAGAAGAAAAAGTAGAATTCTTGCACCAAGATCTCCTTTCCCTTCCAATGAATGCTTCTAATCTTCAATTGCTTGGTATTAATCTTCTTGAATTTCTCTTTTGAATCTCCCCTTTTGTTGTCTTGTCTCCAATATGTCAAGAACCCCTCAAAAGTATGAGAAAGATGTATTTATAAGTGTCTCTCCGTTTTGTGTAGAAGTAGGGTTTTTATGGATTTTAAAATGGCCCAAAAAACGCGCCCTAGATACTCAATCACAGCGCCTAAACGCTACGAGACAGCGCCTAAGCGCTGATGATAGCGCCTGGGCGCTACGTCTTGAGCGCCTAGGCGCTATGATTGCGACACCTAGGCGCTGCCTCTCGAGTTCAAATTTCATCTTCACGAACAATTTGAATTGTATCCCAAACATTATTTACATTACGATTCTCTTTATCGAAAACTTCGTGTTCACCCTCGGAGACATTCTTCCTCAATAAAGTTACGCAAATAGAAGTCGACTTTTGGCCTTGGTTCAATTTAACTAGATGCTTCATCTCCACTTTAGAAGTAACTTTCATAGGTGGAATTGGAATGATTGAATGCTTATAAACCAAAAATCTCAATTCCATATCATACTGAGAATGATCGACGTTAAGCATGCTTTGTATATCATGGTATATTTCTACAAAACGATATACTCCTTATTATAAAAATTGTTTTAACCTCATCTCCTTCACTCGTCCATTTCCATTCCCACTGAGCATTTTAATTCTTTTGAAATTCACCGAAATAACAAATTGGAACACATGCTGATGCCATATCTGTCACAAATTAAAAATATTAGATAATAGATTAAACATAAGGAATTAATACATAATTTTTTAAATTGTTCATTTCAAATTTAAATTAATTTTATAGTTATAATAATTCATTGATTATTTTAATTATTTCAATTGGTATTAAATATTCATTAATATTTACAATAAACAATATACATTAAATATGAACAAATAAATTATAAAATCTTAAACATTAAAAAAATAATTAAATAACAAAAAAAAAGGCAGGAGGCCTGTACATCCGGGCCAGCTGTTTCCGTCTGGGACGGCTGGATTTTTTTCCAACAAAATACTATGTATTTTTCCTGAAATAATATGCATACATATGAATTTCTTTATTCGTTTTTGCTAAAAAAAATACAACTGTGTTTAATATTGTTATAATTCATCTACCTTTGTCGAAATAAGATTTAAAGATTCAAACAGTATACTACTTTAATTAAAACAAAATAAAAAATACGTATTTACACTTACCAATTTCGAGTGCCGACTGTGAGTAATGTTTTTTTGTTGAACTTTTGATAATTTTGTGAGATTTCAATATTCTAGCAGATGGAAGAAAAAAATTTCTTTTTAACTGTATTGGAGAAACTGATAAGCAAAATTGATTTTGAAATTTACGTGTGGATGTGATTGAATTTATTTAAACTTTTAAGGGTATTATTGTCTTTCAAAGATTTAACATGTTTTTGTAATTATGGAACATAATAAGGGCACAATTGTCTTTTTCAACACAAGAGGCCAATGTGGTGAATGAAAAAAAAAATGGTCAAAGTGCAAAACTTATTCTTTGACTCGGCCCATTTGAAAAGTACCCCCATTGAGAAATGGGAAGTGAAGGAACGAGGGTTTTTGGTTTCAATTTTGTGTGTTTTGTTTCCTTTATTTATTTATTTTTTATTTGGTGACATATTGACTAAAAATCTCGTTAATATATCGCCATCTCATTTTTATGGACACCTTACATACATGCTTATGTACTTGTAGCATTATCCATCAATGTAATGTCAGGTCCAGGAAATCCCAATTGGATTGACTGGGATGACAGTTTCTCATTTCGACCCCCCAAACATTACAATCTTTCTAATCCTTAACCACTTTGCACACACAACTATTACACTTAAAAACCTGAATCAAAACTTACCACCCAAATTTTACCACCCAAATTTTGTTACCTTTTTTAAGCCTCTTCTTTGCCTCCATGTAACTTAAAACATACCATAGGCTACTCACCAACATGTTTTTGAATCTTTGAAGTGTCATTTTTAATGGCTCCACATCCTTGTCACTCAATAGAGGAGTCGTGTGTGTGTTTTTTTCCTTGTTGGAGCCCATCGATTGTAGATTTTTGGAGTGATTTTGGGTTGAATTTTGGTAGGAGATAAGGCGTGTTTGGAGGACTGGAGTGATTATAGTATGAGAGATACAACGTGTTTGAAGGCATGTTTATAGCACGCGTAATGGTTAAACTCAAAGAGTAAATAAATTTTTGGTATGCATACTTCACTACATAAAGTAAAGTATTTTTGGGAATAAATTTTGATGAAAAGTAAAATTTGGATATGTTTTTTAAAAGACGTAGTATTGGGTGAAATTTCCTTCCGTAAGAATCTGTTTTGACCCAAAAAAAAAAAAAAAAAGGATAGAAACATACACCAAAATATAGATTTAGTTTATATATTTTTAATACTTCCTTGAAATTTATATTTCCTTATTTGACATGTTTTCTCTATTGACAAGATTTTCTTGCAAGTATCAATACATCAAAATATATCGATTGTGACATTTATTGTTTCTGTTAACAATTGTGACCACGATGTTTTTGCCATCTAGTATACTCAAATGTGATACTAAACTGTAAAAATCCTCCTTCAAAAATACTTGAATATGTTTGTGGACAGGCTCTTCTTTGGCATTGAAGATAGAGCGTTTAGGGATTTTCTGAGAATTTTTTCCCCTTTCTTTATATTAAGTATTGATAAGGTACTGTAAATTCATAATTTATTGCATACTAAATTATACAGTATAGTAACAAAAGGGATGGCTATATGAAAATTTTCCGTTCCACTACATTTTAAAACAATTTTCTTATTTACAAAAATAGAAATAAATAACCAATTAAAATTTTCCTTAAATTCATAACTAACCATCTCAACTTAATTATATTTACTTGACTAAAGTTCAGTGACCATGAATGAAATTTACTTTGTTTAACTTAGCAAAACGCATGGAGATTTTCATACTTTTTATTGGCTGCATCATCGTTCTTTTAATTCGTTGAATGGAAAGATAACTGGACAGGGGAGTGACCTAATTACTTGCAAAAAATAAAAAAAATAAAAAAATACAGTGGTGTGATTGCTCTGAATTAAAATTCATTAATTTAATTGCAAATAATGGTAAAGTTCGATGATTGCAGATGAAATTTACCCTATTGTTAACTTGTGAATAGGGACCTTAACATGGAAACGTACCCGAGTGAATTTTGATAATGAACCATCAACCCGCTGGATATTATGCCATCATATTCATTGTCTGATAATCCCTATATTATTGACAGTTGAAGGGACCATTCCTCCAGCAAATTATAGACATATAAAATGCTTAATTTTTACTCTTAAGAACAATGTGATGGCAATTGAAGAAAATTACTTGCCAACCTTTAAAAAAAATTAAAAAAATTAAAGGACTTTTATTAATTCCCTTAATTGGAAGTAATTTCTTACTGGAATAGACCTAACACCCAACTACTAAATTACTATAGTAACCATATAGCATTTCTGGATTATATATAACATTCATTAACCTCATTGTCTTTTAACTAACATTAAATTGCTCAAATGATATTTGTTAGGAAAATGAGCATATACCAACACACTTTTCCACATTCCACTTGATTAAAGATTAGAAATCAACACAAAATAAGCTTTTTACCATTTTCTGAGAATCATTTTTCAGATCTTCTATGAAATCTCTTTTGCAACACCATGGTCATCGAGGTATGCATATATTTATTTAACCTTAATTTCACTGATTCTATATATTTGTTTTCCAGATTCACTTTGAAGAACTTGCTCTTGTCTTTACTTATTATGATTCACCGATTTCTTGTATTTGGCTTTGTTGGTAATGACTCTTGAATAGAAGGAGACGAATTCACTTTTTTCCTGTTTTAGTGAATTGCTTGGATCGAGCCACTATTCTAAGTTAATGCTTCGACTACTGATTGATCAATGGTTGCCTCAGGAAAACGAGATTCCTAGTGGGTGGCCACTTGGTCTAGGAAACATGAAAATGAGATTTAGAGTAGCAGAGAACTCTGAGAATACAAGGGAACCTTACATTTCTCGTCCAATACGCTCATCCAGTTTCTCTTCATTCTCATCTTCCTTCCTTGATACTGAGGTAACATCTGTGAAACACTGTTCATGTTCTGACAGCATTTTATAAGCTAAACATGTTGCTTCTTTTATGCTATTCTAGTCCACATCATCGTTCTTCCCCGACCGGAGTGTGTCCCTAGGTCTGTTGATTGGAATTCAACCAAGGAACAGAGAAAACGCGTACCACCCAAATGTAATCCTCAACCAACAACATGGGAACTTATCCAATACGAGGTCTGATCGAGATGAATTTGAGGATCAAGACAATAGTCAAGGACTCTGTGTTCCCCTTCTTCATAATGTAATCGGGAAGATGGGCAGGAGTAGAAGCAGCACAAGGCATTAAGGTCCTGCAGTTGTTCAATAAATAATGGATATCTTCCTTTTTTGAGTGAATAACTTCTTTTTATACTGATTTGCCATTTTCTGATTTGGATGAAATTCCAGTGAGTTGAGAACATGAATATAATCCCTCTTGCGAACATATTTGTCCCATACAGATTGAAAATGGTAACAAGATGCAGAGAAAGTTAAGAGGCTGCTTTCACTACCAAAGCTCGGATTTTTCACCTTTCCACATGACAGAAAATACATAAGACTTACTCGAGGCCAATCTTTTTAAAAACTAGAATTAGATTAGCCTTATATCATGTTAATTACCTTCACAAGAGAAACAGACTAATTCGTATACCAAACCTCAACAGTCACAAGGTAACGAGTTCTCCAATGAAATCAGCATAAACGGAGTAGCACTTTCAAAATTATTCAACAACATTTACCAGCTCATACTCGATCAGGGATAGATTGTTATCCTCTTTGACCTCAAACGTCGCAGGTTCGGTTACCTCAACGCGGCCCCATTTGTCAACAGCTAGCCTCATAGACCCTTTGAACATGTCAATTTTTGCATTCCGGAGAATTACTGTGTTATCTGGCTTCATCATGTCAACTGCATCGAAAATGTGCCAGAGCCACTCATTACCAAAAAGACCAGTTGAACAATTCACAGTGGATTTACATGTTCATGTATAATAAGTAAGCATTTAATCAAGTTAGAACAACAAGGTGAATTCTCACAGATTATTCAAGTGACTGAAATAATCCCACGAGCATTTCTCATAATAATCATTGTATAAGCAGAAAGAATCATATTTTCAATGAATTTCAGACTTCAGAAATAGGAATATCCATGTCCAAAATATGCTGTTACACACATTACCAGAACCACAAAAGGATACATGATTCTCAAGGATAGATAAATCATTCTTCTTCATTACTATGGCAGTAGAGTGAGAAAGAACCTGAAATTTCATTAGAAGTTCCAATATTATGAATCAACTAAACATATACAAATACTTATGACCGAAAAACAGCAGCAACAAGAATAGCTGCCTAAAATTTTAATGCGTAGAATATTAGAGTTTCCGTTTAAAAAACATTTTCTACCAATTTACATGATAATTCGAAACAATTGAAATATCAAACGACTGATACATGTCCTCCTTATTATCGACTATTTCTTCATTTGGTACTCTATGCATAATTTCATACAAAAATAATAAATAACTTAAAATGCAAAAAAAATTGTTTGAGCAAGAGAGGGGACCTTGATCGTTACGTGCAGTGAAAAGGATCGTTCCAGTTTCATCACCGACAAGGCACTCAGAAATAGAGGTGTTCTGGTTTTGGGGCCCACGGAACGACATCGAATGGCGGGGCTTCTTGTTGAGCACGGTATTGGAACTCAATACCTTGACAACAAGGGTGTGGCCGTTGGTACCAGGCTTGAGAGATTCAACCTTCACAAACATCGGCTTTCGAAGTCCGGGCTTTGCGGGGGTTCCATCGGGCTGTTGCGTTGGCGTTGTCGTTGTCGTTGTCGTTGCCATTGATAGAGATAGAGAGAGGGAAGCAATTGGAGAGTTTTGACGGCGGTCGAAATGTTAACCCTAATCCAGATTTCGACAAGATAGAAGAGTAAATTTTATTTTATTTATTATTATTAATTTTTTTTTGAAAAAGAGAGTAGGTGAGAAAACGAAAGGGGAACGAACGCAAGTCTAGTACTTTTCAACACAACAACAATTTATTAAACAAATTTTACGGCCTTTATCATTGGACTTATCTGTTAAGGTCCAAAAACAGAATCCTGGCCCAAGTACCCGACCCAACAAATCTTGTTACATGGACACCGTTCCACCACATAAAAAAAGAAAAAGAAAAAAAAAACAAAAAACCCATAATTCCGACAATTTCTCCCTAAGCCTTCCTCTTTGTCCACTCCCCAGAAAATACAGTAGATTATCTAATTTCTGACCCCGCTTTCGGAGATCAAGATGAAAGAAAAAGTCAAAGCAACTCTCCCTACCTAAACCATGAAAGGATAATCATATTTATAAATTAAGGAAAAGAAAAGAAATATTTAAGAAAATGTCAGCTTTTCATTTCTCTTGCTTTGTATAATTCATATATAAATTCGTTCTCATCTGAATCTCTTTCTTCTTTATTGCCTATTAATGGACACTGATTTCTGGACCTCTCGTATAGCCGCCGCCAAGAGGCAATTCAATCTACAGCACCACCACCATCTCAGCAACAGCAGCGGCGGGGGTGGCCACCACTCCTCTCAATTGGGTTAGCTTCATTTTTCTTAGATATTTTTTTATTGGTGGTCATTGACCTGAAATCCTTTTGCTTTTTGAAGAATAAAAAATATTTTATTAAGTTTTTGGTGTTTAGGGTGTCTTTGACTTTTTCTGTTTATATAGATCGGTTTAACATAGATGATTTCGAGGTTGAAGAAGAGGTCCGACCTGATTTCCCATGCCCGTATTGTTACGAGGAGTTTGATATTGCCTCCCTTTGCTCACACCTAGAAGATGAACACTCTTTCGAATCCAGAGCCACCGTGAGTTTTCTTCCACATTTATAATATCAAAAATAATATTTATTTCCAGGTTGATGCAGCCTTATTATGTTTTCATTTCTAGGTTATTTATTAGATTTTTCTTCATCAGGTTGTTGATTACGATATTCATTGTATTTTCCCTCAAATGGCACATCTGAATTTGCTGGAAAAAAACATATAATTCTAATTCTTTTCCTCTTTCTGCGCAAGTAAATATTGGTAAATTGCTGGAAAAATTACATTTTGCTTTTGTTGGGTTTGTTCACTCACTATCTTTGGTGTTTATAAAAATTCCAAGCTTTTTTCTTGTATGTTGGCAAACAATCTGTAGTAATCCACCTAGTAGATACGTCTTCTATCTCTTGTATAGAATGGGTGACCTCTGATAGACCCAGGCGTCTCAGCCAGGGGGAGAAGACATTCTCTATTTCAATTTTGAATTCTGCTCATTCTGCTTGTTGGAATAAGCTTTTCAATTAAAGAGCCTCTAGGCGTGCTGGATTGCATTTGTTATAATGGTTGCAAACTGTTAATTTGAAATGTGAAAATATTATTGTAATTTAATGACTTCGTGACTTAAAGAGAAGCTACTTCTGCGTCAAAGGATATCAGGATTTTCACCTAATGAACTCGAAGATTTTATATAGGCTCTACTGCCAATAATTATACTTCATACAACCTAATGGAGGAGATGAAAGATGAATAGCACACCGTATAAATTTTACCTATAATTAGTTTTATTAATCTCCATATTTAATTTAATGAAACTACAAATAACACGTGACACAACAGTGGAAAATAATCTTCTCTCCTTCTCAGCTCTATGACTTATATTGTGGATTGATGACATATATGTAACCACCAAACATGGTTCATTTGTGCGCTTCTTGATGCTCTTACCGCTGTTTTACTTTTTGCTACTCATAATTTGTTTGTGGGCAAGGAATATAAGCTACAATTGATACGAGTCTAATTTCTATTGCCATAAATAAGTTTCAAGCATCTCATGTGACATCCACATTTTTCTTGCAGGTTTGTCCTGTTTGCTCAGTTAAAGTTACAAGCGATATGTTAAGTCACATAACACTGCAACATGGATACTTGTTCAAGATATCCTTTATGCAAAAATATTATTACTTACTCGCACATAAACCTTGGTAACATTCCATATGAAGTCGTAATCCTATCGTAGATTCTTTAACAAATGAATACTTGCAGCGACGTCGTAGTAGGTCACGTAGAGTTGCTATTCCCAACAGTCAAGCACTCTCTCTGTTGGGAAGGGATCTGCGCGAAGCCCATTTACAGTTGCTTCTTGGAGGCAGTGGATATCGATCAAACAATGCAACTTCATCCAACGCAACCACTGATTCTTTTCTCTCGTCTCTTGTTTCAAATTTGTCTGCATCTGAAACTGATGAAATTTCAAAATCTGTGATGTCAAGTATCGGGGACAATTCCTCTACGCGTGTGACCTCACAAAATATATGGAAGTCAAGGTAGGGGATCTTTGTTAAAGCCGGCTTGTTCTATCTGCTTACTTTTTCACCTGACTCTAACTAAATTATGGAAGGAAACAGAAAAATGAAAATTGTTTTCAAAAACCAATATTGGAGGTTGTGCGACTGAAATCAGTAGATTACATACGCACCACTTCATTTCGTCGTTTGACCGTACGTAGGGTAACCTACTCATGGGATCATATAAGTGAAAACACACAACCAGGAGAACTTCCTTAATTTATTTATGCATCCGTGTGATTTCTAAATATATGAAGCGCTTATTATCCAAGATGATTATTGTCAAATATAAGTTCGATATTTCCTCCTAAACTTTGCTTTTTCTTGTTGCAGTTTTGATTCATCTTTAAGTCGTGAAGAGCGAGAAAAGGGAACGAGACAGGCAGCAGGAAGAGCTGTTTTTGTCCGAGATCTGCTCATATCAACTTTGTTAGCTGACTAGTGGAAGCAGTAAGTGCTGCTATTTACAAGATATTGGTTTCAATGTGA